AAAGGTAGCGGTTGCTAGGGCTTCCTCCCAGTATGGGAGTGTCATGGAGGCGTGGAGTAGCAAGGTGCGGATGGCGGTGTTGTTGATGGTGTGGAGTATGTGTTCAGCTTTGCCATTTTGTTGAGAGGTGTAAGGGCATGAGAGGTGCAAGGTGTTGCCGTGCTTGCGACTAGGGGAACCTTGCGCGCTTCTTGATAACTCAGTAAAAATACCAGAGTCATCAATGGGAGTTTGCATCTCTACCTCATCTTTAACTTCCATATTTATTTTGCAATCTTGGTTGTGTGCTTTACCTTTTCTAACTTAGTTGATGGGCTAGTTGATATGATTAGAATTTAGGTTGCATAACTATTTTGTGGTAGAGATAGCAACACACTAGCAAAACCATAGTTGCACATTTAGATAGTTTATTTATTGGATAGGTTTTGCTAAGGTTTATAAGAGGCCATAGTTAGAAGTAGAATTTTAAGTTGCATAAGTCACCCCCTCTTAGGCGTCATGGTCCTGTAAAGGGTAAGTGTAATAGATATAACAAGAAAACTAATTAATAATATTTATTTAAAATACATGTAGACCTCGAAATAGCCTTTGATGCGTGTGAAACTTTAGTTTCCTTCGTTTGACTCGCATATGCAACATGGAAAACATCTGAGTACGAAATATGTTTGGCCATTTGAAATTACAGAAGCACTTATTTTTGACCGTTCAAGGCCCATAACAAAATTTTCTCTAACATATGCTCAATAGTCTCATAGAGAGCCCGTTCGCTTGAGCTTATCAGCACTACTTTTCGGCCATGGAATATTGTTTTTCTCACAACAAATCAGCATCAGCAGCAGTTGCTGAAACCATCAGCCGAACAACCTCACAGTAGTTTAGAAAGAGAAAACGAGGCACTAATAATTGAAGCAATATGAGTACGGACTACGGAGTAACCGCTAGTTTGTATAAGGCCTCTACCTGCAAGCACCACTAGTGCGATGAACAAGAGAGATGCCGGTGCGCCTCCATGACTATAGGCAGCAAGCTGCAGCCAGATTCAGATGGAGGACTAGCGGCTGCATGCCTAGGGCATGTGCTTGGTCGGCTGGTTGGTCAGCCGGCCGGTGAGCATCGGCTAGTGGCGGATCTGCTGGGGCACTGGTCGCCTAAGGGTGCCAAGAGCACGAACATATGTCACGATGGGGACTGGAGAGCACCCGCCGGAAGCCCGAAGGACGAAGCGGGGCTTCTGAGGCTGGAATGGTGCGAGTTTGGCTAGTGTTGGGCCAAGTTTACTGTGTATAACCTGGCTAGACCTCGTTGGCTTCTTCTATGGGCTAGTATTGCTACATGGTGGTTTTGGTTTATACTTGGGTTGGACCCGGGCTGTAGCCCCCCGTTCTAATACTACTTGAACAATCTAAAATATATCACAAAGCATCTTATGGGTACTATGTGAATATTTTCTCACCACTATACAATGTATATGATGTCTCGATTAGAAAATATTTATACTATTATAAACCATATCAGACCATCATAGAACATCACAAAAATACATCATAGAGCATCACATGTGTATCACATGAACATTAAAAAAACATCATAAAACATCACATGTGTATTACGTGAACATCACAAAATATATTATGGAACATCATTGTATACTACGTGAACATCACAAATATATCATAGAACATTACATGTATACTACATGAATATTACAGAAAAATACGTTGAACATCATATGCATAAAATGTGAACATTACAAAAATACATCATAGAACATCACATGTATATGTATAAACATCGTAAAATACATCATAAAACATCACATGTATATACCACGTGAACATCACAAAAACATCATAGAACATCACAGGTATACTACGTGCACAAAATACATCGTAGAACATCATTATATACTACACAAACATCACAAAATATATCATAGAACATTATTCTATACTACGTGAACATCACAACATATCATAGAATATAGAAAAATAAAAAGTAAACACGAAAACAAAATAATTAGTTAGATTAAAAAAAAATAAAAAGAAAAAAAAACTATAGAGAAAACATAATGGAAAAAGAGAAAAAGAAAAGGTAGAAAAACAAAAAACAAAATGAAAAGAAAGGTAAAAAATATATAAAATGAAAATAATAATAATAATTCACATAAAACAAAAATAAAAAAAATAAAAAATTGAAGCATGAAAAAAGAATAAGAAAAAATAAAATAAAAAATAAAAAATAAAAGAAAGATAATATGGAGAATGAAAAGGATAATAAAAAATCACATAAAATAAAAATAAAATAAAAAATTGAAGCTGAAAAAATAAGAAAAAAGAAAAAAAAGAAAAGAAGACAAGAAAAGAAAAGGAAAAAGGAAAAGGAAAAAAGAAAAAAGAAAAAAAATGAAAAATGAAAACATACAACGGAGATGTGGAGAGAACAGACTCATAACATGGTTTTGGATCTTCCTCCAGCAACTTATAACTATTGGGCGTTGCTAAAAAAAATTATAACTATTGGGCCAGAATAAATAATAAAAAGTCCATAAAGATAGAGCGCTCCGCACGCATAGAGCACCGGGAGCTTCCGGTCCAGCTGATCGGACCGGAAGATTCCTAGTGCTCCTGGTGCACCCAGGGACGGATCCAAAGGGGGGCTGGGGAGGGGGGGGGGAGCTCCAGCCCCCCCTACAGCTAGTGCATCAATGGAAAATGGGGAGGGTGAGGGAGAAGAAGAGGTGTAGGAAAGAAGAAAAATGGAGAGAGGGGAAGAAGAAGAGACCAGCCCCCCCTTCAATCCTGTTCTGCATCCACCACTGGGTGCACCTGATCGTTAACACTAGAAAACTGGCGCGGCTTTGCCATGTCCTACTTGGAGCATGCTAGTAGATCATTACTTTGGGGTGCAGGATGAAGAAACTCACCATTGTTTTACCGACATTATATAGCGAGCCAAAATAAAGTGTGGCATTAGAACATACTTAATCAGTTCAACGAATCAATCACTATTTATGGAATATTAGTAAACACCATACATCAAAGCCTAGAAGTAAATAGGAGCACATAACAAGGAAGATAGCTATTCTAGGAAGCTTGGAGTACCAAAATAAAGGGAATAGTGTAGAACCAGATGAAACAAATAGAACGCTCTTGTGGTGGCTGAGTTGGCTGAGTGGTGGCTCCGGAGCAGATTGGTGCTGCATCCTGACACGCGGCCTCCGTTTGACACCATGTTGCTGCTCACCGCTTGGTGCGTTTGGAAGGAAAGGAACAACTGGACCTTCCATAGGTCATCGGCAGGACTGCAGCATATCTTCCTTGCCGTGCTACGGGAGGCCGAGGACTGGATCAGCGCGGGGATCTCGACGCTGAGTGCTGTGTTCCCCTCTTGGTCGCAAAAATCGTTTTATCATGTAATAATTGCTAGAGGATCCAGTAGATAGGTGGCAGCGGTGTGGGAGTGCTGGCCCCTCGCCACCATTGCCCAACGCTCTTGTATCGTTTGCAAACTCCTTTTTCTCTTAATGAAAAACGGATACAACGCCCCATCGAGAAAAAAAAACAAATAGAGCAAGGTACTCTAAGCTGCGTGCCATGCTGCACCTGTGCACCGTATATAAGGAAGATATGTTTGATACCTGAAGGCCTTCCTGTGTGCCATGCTACAACTGTGCACCGTATCGTTTCATCTACACCGATTCATTAGAACAATTCTAATTTATTGTCTACTTCAAGTGAAAATAGTAGCTCTATTATCTGAATTTGTGTTCGTCTGGGTTTTTTTTGTCACATTAAGGACAAGCATACTACGTAGATACTACTCATTGTGCAAATAGGTAAAGTTCAGTGTAAAAAACAATGGTAATGTTCACAAATTTCCAACAGAGAACACATGGGTCTGCTTAACTGAAGACTGAACATGCTTTAGCAAATGCAAAATTCACTGCCGGAAACAAGAGGTAAGCCTGAGTGCAAAAGGGTTTGCCAAGTGCAATTCATCGGGCACTTGACATACAAGCTCTTTGCCGAATGCCGACAAAAAAACATTCGGCAAAATAATTGCACTCAACAAACAAGGAAAAAAACACTCGGCAAACTAGAAAAAAAAACACTCGGCAAAACTAGACACTCGGCAAAGCAATATGTTTATCGAGTGTAATTGTCTGGCACTCGGCAAACACTACACCACAACACCACTTCACCGTCAGACATCTGACGCTAAAAATTATATTTGGCGATGGATGATCTGACGCTAAAGATAACTCAGAGACCATCTGACGCTAAATCCTCATTTAGCGATTTGTTGTCTGTCACTATAGATGTTCATATTTAGCGTTAGCCCGTCTGTTGCTAAAACCAGATATAGCATTGATCTATTTGACGCTAAAAAAAAGGGCCCCACGCCCACCTCACACGCCCTATCTCCATAAGCAGTTCATGCGCAAATTTTTACCTAGCCCACAGTACAGCAACAAACCCTAGACTCTTCCCCCAGATTCCAAATCCAAGAGCGCCGCCGCCTGTTCTTTACCCTCTCCCGTAGGCCACCGCCCAATCTTTTCACTCTCCCGCCATGCTCCGCACTCTCCCTGCCCTTCAGATTCCAACTCGTGCCGCCAGTCTTCATCCAGCTCGATCGACCGCGCGCCTATCCCTCCCAAATCCATCGACACCCACCCAAATCCCCTCGCGCCCGCCCCATCCCCCAGTCCCCATGCCGCTCGCCCTCATTGCTCCCCGCGCCGCCTGTTACGCGCGACAGAGCACCGCCCAACCCTCCGCCCCGACAGCGCCTCGCGCACCCCCAAATCCCCCGCCCCAGCTCGCCCGCCCCACCCACCTCCTGTTTCGCTGCGGCCTGGGCGCACCGACCAGCGGCTTCGCCGGCGCGGACCCCGCGCGGTGGCACGCCAAGTACTGCCTGGTCAGTCCCCTGCCCACACCGTCCTTCCCCTCCGTCCGATGCTGGCGGATCGAGAATCCCCGTCCCTGGAGTACGCGATGGTGGACAACGCCGCCCCCTGGAGCACGTCGCCCCCAAAGCTGACCATGCCACCTGGAGCACGCAAGCAGGAGCGCTTCGACGGTGGAGCGACAGCGCCCACAGGCAGTGCGCCGATGCCTGGTTCAAGATCAGAGGCAACAAGTAAGTCCTAGTCCATGAAACTCTCGGCGATTCAGTCGGATTCAATTAGTTCATTAGGAGCAATGTGCAAATTCGTCATTTTCTTTTCCTTTTGAAATTGCCCTCCTAATTTCTAAGTAGGAGATACACAATGCAGACGTAATAAATTAAGCGCACGCTAACCAACGCCCACCAGCCCTGCCGGCCTACACCCTACGAACGCAACACAGATTTTCAGGGATTACTGACGGCAGATATAGGTTTTATCTGAAAGGTAATGCATTTGGTGGTGCATGAACACATGGTTAAGGAATCTTAGCAGGTGGCAGTTGTTTTCGTTCGCTTTAGGTGGCCAAAGGTAAAGGCAGCAGATGGGGGAGGAAAAGGCTAAGTAAATGATTAATTAGTAGGCTTGTATGATTCTAGAATGTTGAGTTGTTGAAAAGGATAAAGTTAGCATTTGTTCTTTCAGTCTGCTTTCTCACAGATTGTGTGCATTATCTGTTTGCTCTTGGAGTGGTCTGTTTTTTCTTTAAAAATCTGTAGAGCTTATGGAGTGTTGTGTTGACCAAGTGTGCTCTTGATAGATTGACGTGATCTGGTTTGAGTACTTATGACATGGGTTTTTTGTTTGGTGCCATAGGGGGTAGTGTAGTTGTGTCACTTTGCACAACAGAAGGTATATGCTTTCATGAAATTGTTGTGGGCAGCAGTCAGCAGTCAGCAATCATAAAGTGTTGCTAAGTGCTGAAAAATAAGCTTCTTTAATTTCTTTTGGTGGCGATTGGTGATTCTGTGCAGCGGTTATGTTCCTAGCTATTTATTAGAGATTGCTAGTTCTGAAATGTATGTATGTATGGTAGCAATTATGAGGCAGCATCACACGTGCAGCTATGTGCAGCTTTGGCTGGAATCAGTAGCTAGTTTGTGCGTTCTTTTGTTAAAAAATTCTTGTTGAAAACGTAATGATCACCAACTTTAGTTGGCTGCTATCTGTTTCTGTCAAGTTCAGTTCGGTCACTCTATGCAGCTAGAGTCAAGAGTCAGACATGAGTTTTGTTACTTTGTCCTTCATTGCTGAGGCTTTTCTCTTCCTATATGTTGTTTGTGCTATCCTTACATGGTTTTCAGTTTATGCTAATGTTGAGTTATGCTTCCGCTTTCCAATGCAGGTGGCATGGAGTTTTTCGCTGCCAATGCTGTCGACCTTGACCTGAACTCAGAAGCTCCTGATTACCCACACCTATAAACCTACCAAGACATTACTCAGAAGCTGTTGACCTTCTGAATTTTTAGCAAGTCTTGATCTGAATTATACTAGTCTGTATTTTTAGAAAGTCATTTTTTTAGTACTGAAAATTAGCAAACTTGTGGTTTTGCATAATCATTTAATTACAAGATAGACCTTTGTTACATATCGGCCACCATTAATTCCATAATCATTTAATTAATACTAGCTGTTTATTTTGAACTCATGTTGCTTGTCTCTGTTTTGCATTGAATTGGCTTCTTTGTTGGTAGCAGTATGTTCTTTTGCATATGTAGTCTGTATTCACACATGAGTATTTAATTCACTGAAATTTTATAAACCTGACAGATGCTTGATCTGAAATTTTTTAAACCCCAAGTGGAGGCTAGTTTGTCATACTGCGAGGTAATTGCATGTCCTCAGCCCTCCCTTGAAGCCTCCCCTTTCTTCTTGCGTGGATCTTTCTTCTTGCATGGATCTGATGACCTCCCCTTTGGCTGAATCAACATACTTTTTAGTGATTAAATAGGAAACCTGAAAAGAGAAGGCTGTGAAGATATAATTAGTGTTGCTCTTGGGTTTATTTTTCCACATGTTAACTAGCTTTCATTAGCTAGTTAATTAGTTAGCATTCATTTCCTTAGCTATCAGAAGATTAGCACTAGTCCTTTCATTAGCTTACCAACATGTTTATGCTTCCTTCAGTGATCAAAAGGCTTACAATGTTCAGTCTCTAAACCATGTGAGCTGTAACTGAACATTATTAGTGGGCTGAATTTTGCTTTATTGTCTTTATAATTTTTTCTATTTAATTTTCTAGTCCAATGAGTGAATTCAAAGATGAGAAACATTATCCTGCAGATGTCTTGTACCAAGTAAATAGACCAAAAAGTTTGATAAGATAGTCTCGAAACCATTTTGTGCTTTACAGGCAGCCTGGACATGAAGATATAGTTAGTGTTGTTCGTGGCATGTATAAAAAGGATGGATTATCTGTTCTAGCTAGGAAGTAGATTATAATCCAATCCAATATAAAAAAGCTTCTACATTGAACAGGAGAATGATAGAAAATAATCTGAACTATTGTAGTTTTTTGTTGGAAGTCTATGTGCAGTCAATTTATACCCTGTAGTTTTTTGGTGCAGGTTCTTGCACTTGTGCAGTCCTGCTTGACTTTAGTTGTGATAAGCTTTTCACTGCAAACGAACCGCTACTAGATAAGTAGTTCCAATAAGCTATTCAACTGCTACTAGATAAGCTATTCAACTGCAAACGAACCACTACTAGATAAGTAGTTCCAATAAGCTTTTCACTGCAACTGAAGCAGGGTTCTGCTGAACCCCATGCCCAAATTTAAGTCCAGCCCGATTTGTAAGTCATGCAGTTCGATGAGGACCGGGTCGCTGGTGTGGGTGGCGGCAACGGTGAAGTTGATGACAGAGTGGATGAGCCTGCCAGGTGAGGAAATGATACTATCTTTAACATCCAGTAGTCAAATTTAGCAATATGATTTAATTTCTGCAATGAATTTTGGGGTGAGTAACTATTTGGAACTCAGGATCCGGCAGGAGCCAGTAAAGCTGTTCCAAATTTTCTATCGAGTTTGTTCCTTAAGGACAGGTCTAAACTTGATGTGGAGTCCAATTTAGCTAGTGCTTGCTGTGTTTTGTGCGGTTAATGCGCAATGCTAGATAGCTAAGTAGTGTATATGTAGCTATTGAATGCCATGGAAGAACTGGTGGTGCATTTCTTGTGCAGCTAAAGGTTGTTCTGTGTTTTCGGTTTATCATGTTTAGTAGAATTGTTTGGATCTTAGGTTCCCAAAAAGGGTCATGGCCTGTCTAGCCTTTTTAGGCTTGGATTATGTGGTAGTGGGACCTGAATTCAGATAGACCAAATGATCTATGACCATATTTAGTGTATTTTGTCTGAAAGGATTGTCAAAACAATAAATTTTCAATGACCGCTGTATTCCTATGCATAAAGCAGCGCAATAGTTGACTTGCTATTTTGGCTTTTATGTTATTTATTATCTTTTAATAGATGAACTGAAAGGTATATCACTATTTCAATGATTGCCAGTTGTATTGAACTTCAACAGCATGCCTGGGTGATCCGAAAGTAATGCTGCTTTTTGTTTATTTATTCAAATAAATATTGCACTGTGCAGCAGTAAGATAATTTCTAAGCTCTGTGTTATAGCTGTTAGATGCCTACGCTGTGGCATCAGCGCAAATGCGACGCCTCATATGCGTCGTGGACCAGAGGGTCGTAGGACTTTATGCAATGCGTGCGGCATAGCTTGGGCAAAGGTAGGTGCCAACTGTTCTTCACCACTCACTTCTGTATTACAATTTTTTTTACATCAGTGGTGGCTGCACTTTTGTTCATAACTCTGTTCTTGTTTTTTCATGGTTTATATAGGACCAATTGCAACACATGTTAATAGCCTCTATATCAGATTTAAGCATATGGCCACTTACTTTAGTTATGACTATCATGAGTACTTGTTTGAAAGTTTTAGTGTTCGAGCAAACTGAATATGTGAATTATATTTGTGAAACTATGTCATCTCATTCTCTCATTGTAAGTTGAAAGTTGCAATTTGTAACCGAGTTATATTTATCATTCTGTTATTGCACTGTAGTAAATCAATTGAAATAGCAGCAGCTCATCTCGTTCTGTTCGGCAACTTGGTCTTGGCTTGTTTCAGTTCAGCAACAGCTCAACCATGTGTTTCAGGTTCTTAATTTTTGAGTAGCAGGAGAAATGACAAGCCATCCTAGCTTTTCATCTAGTCAACTACTTAGACGAAATCAATAATATTTATATCCTGTAGTGAAAGAGTATAGACTTATTGATTGTGCAGCTTTACAATTTTTACAGGCATGTAACTTTGCTTCTTTTGAAAGCAGTGTTTATATGCATCTAAAATGAAGTGATTCCTACTTTTGTAATAATACATCATACTGAAGCATAGTAACTTTATCTGATCATGGATCTATGTTTTAGGTTCATGAATGAATCTATTTGTATGAGAAATGTGCACAATGATGTTATTTTTGTATTAATTTGCAACCAAATGGTCTTTTATTTTTTTTTAAATGCATTTAAATGATCTCGTCAAACCATCCGTCGCTAAAAACATTTGTAACTTCAAATTGTCTGTCGCTATAGAGTACTGGCAAGCTATTTGTCGCTAAAGAGTAGCAGCAAACTATCTGTCGCTAAAAAAATTCAGGGCAACGGACTGTCTGACGCTAAAGATTTTTAGCAACAGGACTTACATCGTCTACAGAAGTCTGTCGCTATAACTTTTTAGTATCAGATTGTCTGTCGCTGTAGCTGCTTTTAGCGTCAGATCGTCCATCGTTAATATTGGTGTTGTGGTGTAGTGAAAGAAATATGTTTGCCGAGTGTAATTATTTGGCACTCGGCAAATAATTTGTCACGTACGCTGTGAAAAAGAAGGAAAATAAAGAAAATAAAAAAAATGGTTTGCCGAGTGCTCCGATCTGGCACTCGGCAAAGCTCTGGCACTCGACAAATTCACAACCTTATAAACTTGCCTGGCCACCCCCTCCCTCCCATGGGCCTCCCCTCCCTCTCCCGGTGCCGTCGCCCCCTCCCCTCCCTCCGTCTCCCGCCCGCGCCCCTCCCTCTCCCGCCGGCGCCGTCCCCTCCCAACCCTCTCCCGGCGCCCCCTCTCTCCCTCTCCTAGCGCCGCCCCCTCCCCTCCTCTAACGACGGGCGCGGCCAGCGCGACCACGGCCAAGGGCAGCCAAGCGCGGTCGATGGGTGGATCTGCACGGTGGCGGAGGAGACGCGCGGCGAGGCGTAACTCGTGGGCGGCAGTGCGCCCTCCTCCCACATTGCGACGCTCACGTCGGAGTCGGCATCGACTAGGAGCAGGCCTACCCTAAACCCTATGGCGAGCGCGCGCGTCTGCTCTGGGACGGAGCTGCCGCCACCACCAGGAAGCCAACCCGCCTTGACGTTAGCAGCCGCCGTCGCGCCTGGAGATCCGTAGCCACGCCGTCATCTCCTCCCTATTCTCTTCTTCGGGTCCGGCAGCGGCCGCTCCTCCCGGACGCAGAAGCCGCTGCTCCTCCCAGACCTGCAGAAGCCGCCGGCGCAAGCTGCTGCTCCCTCCCCCTCTGCGTCGGACACGTACAGGCAGCGAGCTAGCCACTGCCACGGTGGGTAAGCTACGAGCGGGCCAGGACCGCGCCCTGCCGGCCGGCTCCTTGCCTCGGCCGCAGGCGGCGGGCGTGGTGGTGGTGGCGGCGGCGGTGGTTTTTTTTTATATTTTCAAAAAGTCTTTGCCGAGTTTCGGTTTTAGCACTCGGCAAAGTCTTTGTCGAGTGCCCGATAAAAAACACTCGGCAAAGAAACGTTTGCTGACTCTGTGTACGTCAAGTGCCGTTTGCCGAGTGTAACACTCGGCAAAGACTTTGCCGAGTGTTTTTTGGGTTTCGCTGTGTGCCGTTGACACACGGCAAACCTGGGCATTCCGGTAGTGATTAGAAACATTATGTTGTCAATAAAGATGATATGACTATTTGATATAAGTAGAATGAACTTCTAATCAAATTTGGGCAGCCCTTCTTTGTGCATTCGTAAGTATTACCATTTGGTTTCAGCCGTGGCACTGTCGTCGCCGCGGCACCTGCCCTGCTCTAGGTTTGCCAGTGCCCCTGTGCGTTGAAGGGAGGTGGGATCCCCAGGATCAGCTCTTGCTGCGCAGGAACCAAGGTTCTAGAAAGGGTAGCTGCATTGCCCGCTTTTTGACGGTCCGATAAAGAATTAGACAGTGAAAAACAACATGCCACGTGGCAAAATGAGAGGCCAAAGTGGTTGGTGCAAAATTCGTGTTCTAAAAGACGGTACGATCACCGAATTGATGGACATGAAGCACGATAAGAACTCTGCTAACTAATGACTGCAATTTTATCACAAATCATGAAAATTTGTCATGATATGAAGTTATTACCATGACATGACAAAAATGACTCTGTAACTAGCTAGTTGTCTCTAATTACCACCAACTACAAATCGTAATTTTTTCATCTATACATAATAATAAAGAGCCAAAATTTTAGCCAATTTTTTTTGTCTGGTCATATTTTGGTCTGCCATATCCGTATTTTTTTCCTATCCGGATCCGGATGTGTTTCCATAAGGAGTACTTTCCGCAGTTTCACGACATTTCCCATCGCTGGTCGCCTGGGCCCTCTGCGTGCAGCGTCCGACTCCAGGGCTCCTCCACCTCGAATCCCTCAACGGCGCATGAGGACTACTACGTCTAGGGCGAGGCAGAGCGCGCGCGACGTGGTAAGAATAGGGCCGAGATTGGCTCCTCTGTTCCGTGGTTTGGGGAAGAGGATGAGAAAAAGAATTAGAAGAGAAGGAAGGGTTTCAGGTGGAAAAGTGCAAGAAAGAAAGAAAAAGTGAGAGGATCTAAATTGAATTCAAGAAACTCTGAGATTCCTGATGTCAAAGTTCACCCCAAATTGGGCCTCCTGCTGCTGGGCTGTAATCCGCCATGTGGATCTTTTGTGCCAGTGGACTGGGCCGAGCCATGGCCCAAGTGCTGGCCCCTTTTTTTTTTTTTTGTTTTTCTCTTTTTCTCGTAAAACAGTAAACTTGTAAATTACGTGTAAAATCACATAAAAATAGCAAAATTATTTTTTAACTCCCCTTAACTATTGATGCATATTGACCAAGTGAAAATTTAAAAGAAAAAATGTCCAAATGAAATACAACGAAGGAGCACAGAGCACTCAAGGCCACTCCACCATAGGTGACAGGTCTATTTTCCGCAAATAGTGATGCAAACCGGCTTAATACTCCTACAGGCGGCCTAGACGATGCTGCATCAGCCGCTTACAATAAAACTTGTGTATCTGCATGGCTCGGCCCTACGCTTGGTCTTGCCGCCACTGCATAGAAGAGCTTCATTGCATCGACGTCAGATTCACGCATTGATGTTAAGATGAGGATTCTATGGCTCGAAGGCCACATCAGCGAGGCGACCGTGTGGTGTTCACGGAGTGCGATGCCATGGAGCAGAGCCAAGCTTGTCAACTGGGGCTCCAATCTCTGGAAGCTTAGTGGTCCTGCTACTTGTGAAGCATCCCGCCCACGATGAGGCTCTATCTGGGACACTGCTCATCGGCGGTGCACTAGGCGCGGTGCTGGAGTTCCGACCACATAGCATCCTGTTATCACGCATTATGCTGAAAGCAGCAACGCTGTGGCGCGGTGGGAGTGCACACTTCAAAAGGTACGGAGGAAGGACATTGCGCACTGCATGGGCGAGTTAGAGGAGATTGTAGCGGTGTTTGAGGAGATCGACGAGGTGAAGGAGATGAACCACAACTGCCATGGGTGTTCGCACACTAAACAAAATTCGACCATTTAACATAAACAATCATTTCTTATACATCTAAATCTTTAGTCGAATAAAAATTAGTATATGTTTTTATTAACCCCGTTGCAACGCACAAGTAATTTTGCTAGTCATAATAAAATCTGTAACAACATTGTATAGAATTTGTACTATACATGACGTGTATATGTACACGGCTACTACGTACGCTAGTTAATTACACCGGCGGCAACTCGTCATCATCAGCTGACAACTCTGGTGCCTCAGCCGCATCTCTCGATGTTGTCACTGCTTTGAACGGCGGCGAGACCACGCAGCGGCACATCGGGCACGTCCCGTGCGAGTGCAGCCACATGTCGATACACCCCACGTGGAATATGTGTCTGCACGCCGGCACCTGCCGCACCATCTCGCCGCCGCGCACGTCCTCCAGGCACACCGAGCACACGACGCCGCTGCTTGCAGCCGCCGCTGCCGGCTCAGACCTGCCGTCGTCGGCCTTTAGCGGGCTGCACTGGAACGCGAACGCCAGCGGCGCGTCCACTACTTGAGCGCACGCGTAGCCTGGCCGCGCGGGGCCGGCTGTTGCCCTGACCGTGACAACCAGCTCCGCGCCCTGCCCTGTTGCTGGCCGACGGAGCCACCCCTTGGGCGCGAAGCAGCCGCCGATGCCGAGCAGCAGCGCGGCCAGAGCGGCGATGGCGAGCGCCTTCCAGACGGTGACCGAGGCGGCGAGCACGCAGAAGAGGAAGATGGACAGGCACACGACCGCAATGCCGTACAAGGGGTTGTAGCCGCCGTCGACCTCATCGACGACGCCGGCGTCGGCGTTCCTCGCCTGGAGCTGGTGCCTTGGGTACAAGTTGAGCATGGTGATATCGGTGAGCGCGTCGTCAGAAGCTGATTGCCGTGCTTAGCTTGCGTGCACTAGCTCGTTAGCTTCAATCGTGTGCATTGCCGCCATGAACGAACGTTTTCTCGGCAATTTATAGTGTTCGCCATGGGGGTTTGGCACCAGGCGAGCCAGGTGGCTTTAGCGTGTCACTGCTGCTGTTTGGTCAATATTTTCATGGCGAATTTTAATAAATGAACATTCAGCTACCTGTCCTGTTCATACTACACATGTGTTACTTTATCCGGATGAACAATTAATAATTAATGGACTATACGAGTATACGTATTACTAATGACCACCGCACGGCGGAATTGAGAGCTTAGGCTTGTTCTACCTTGGAGGCGCCGTAGGAGTTTCTGTTCGTCAGGGGCAGGCTGGGGTCGAACGTCCTGCCCGTGTGCTTCTGCGTTGTTGGCGTCTACTGATATCAATATCCTTCCTAAAGCCATCATTGAGCACTTCTGCAGCCCATCTCCTGCTACTCTCGCAGGAGTCTCCACCCCAGATATGGACATCACTGTTGGTTCAAAAACCCACTTCACTGTCGGATTTTGAACCGTCAGTAGCATACCGACAGTGATGATGGGGGGTTGACATCACCGTCGGTCCTTAAAAACTGACACTGATCTACAGGAAACAGTGTCGGTTGCTGACTCCACCCGGCAGTGTCCAGCTGAACAACACTGCCGGTTTGTAGTGGCAACCGACAGTGACGGTTACTTCAAGAGTGTCGGTTCT